GGTCAGGAGGAGTGAGGTCAGAGCTGAGACCCAGAGGATGCGTTAAAGACAACAGGCGATGGAGAATGCTGTTTGTCCACAGCGTGATTGTTTCCTCAGTGACTCCTCTTAAGTTCAAGCTGCTCTTACTGCAGAAAGATACAGTCTTGCCTTGGTATCCACGGGGGACTGGTCTCAGGACCCCCTCTAACACCCACACCCAAGACCTTTATGTAAATGACGTAGCGTTTTCACATAACCTGTGTACGTCCTCCCATGTACTTTAAATCATCTCTAGCTTACTTATAATACCTAATACAGTGCACATGCTCTGCACATAGTTGTTACACTGTATTGTTTAGACGTCTGTAACTGTTCAGTACACATAACCGTGTGACAGGTGACTAGCAAGTACCCATCAGCAACAACGTAACTTTCGTGGGGACAGTATTTTCAGTTCGTGGTTGGTTGAATCCACAGATGTGGAACCCACGGATACGGAGGGCTGACTGTATTCCATCCTGAGGTCTATAAACCCTCCACTCGCCCTCCATTCGCTCATCAGAGCCGCTTCTGCAGCAGGCTCAGTGCCTGGAAGCAGAGAGCAGGAAGCGAGACCTCCATCCTTAGAAAGTAAGACCCCCGCACTGGCCAGCCTCTCCTGCTGACACTCATGGGCACCTGACGCAGGACAGGTGAGGCCCTTGCCCGCTTTAACTCCTTTCCTCAGCATGACATCTTAGGAGGTGGGTTTGATATCATCCCCATGTTACAGATGCGGACACTGAGTCACAGAGCAGCTGTGTCATTGGTCAAAGGTTACACTGTCCTAAGAGCTGGGGGTCAGATGGAGTAGAATCAGAGACCAATGGGAAACGAAGAGGGGGAGCTTTCAGGGAGGACACCTGGGCAATTAGACAGATAGTCTCTAGAAGGGAGGACTTCAGGTGGGTGTAGCCACACAGGCCAGGTCAAGAGAGACCTTGGCGCGTCACTTGGGCAACAGCCATTCTGTATAACTGGGTCGAACGCCATGGGGAGAGGAACAAAGAGCAAACACCCTTTCTGAACACTCACTACATACACACCACACTCTAACCCTCCTTGTCCAGCGACACATCGGCCCCTCAGCTGCCTGTGCAGCCAGTTGTCTAGACCCCATTTCACAGCTGGGCAAGCTGAGCCCCAGGAAGGTCCAGAAACTGGCTCAGGTCCCACAGCAGAGGAGTGGAGCCAAGTGGCCTGGAGCCATGCTAGAGGAGGCACCAAGGTGGGCAGAGCAGGGGTTGGCTACCAGGTCCCACTGCCCATTTCCAAAGAGCACTTGACCAACACAGTTCCTTGAACTCTGGACCTTAGCAGTCTTGTTTATGGCTGTGTCCCCAGAGCTTTGTCAGTAGCTGGTACTCAGAACACACACACATGCATACACATTGAATGATGGCAGAGAATGTGCTTTCCAAGGACTCATGGGTCCCCATCTGGTGAGTGGCCCACACTCCCCTGGCCAGCCTAGGATGGCAGCCCTTCCTGTCTCCAGCTCCTGCCAACTAGCCAGCTTTTGCCAAGGAGCCCAGATGTTTCTGCTCCATGGTTCTGTCGTGGCCGTGGCTGTTCTTGTACGGAGCCACAGGGCAGGATTACATGGAGACAAATGCCTGGATCTCTAGGCCAAGTCCTGTAACTCTCTACAGGTCCTTGTCCCAAGGTGCTCCTACTGGCCTGTAAGATTGGCCCCTCTGCCTGGAACAGGGTGTGCATGGGTGTGCGTGTGTCTGTGTGGCTGTCAGGAGCCTCGGGGCCCTAGACACTGTACCCAGATGAAGAGGCAGGAGGGGGTGACTACATGGGGGCTGGAGCCAGACCACCTGGGACAGGTCTGTGCCTCTGTTTCCTCACCTGTAAAATCAGGATAAAATAGCACTGATCTGTGGGATCCATGACATAATTCCCGGAAAGTGCTTAGAACAACGCCTGGCCCATAGGTCTTAGTAAGGGCTAGCAGCGACTGCTAACAGCTTTGGCTTTGCTCTGTGCTCCTCTCTGGGTCAGAAACTGGCCAAATTCAGCTAAAATTAGAGTGTGCAGCCGAGGGCCTGGTCTGACGTGCTGTCCCCTCCTTCCCCAGGACTGGTCCTGCTCGCTCATCGTGGCCTCTCTCATGGGCGCCTTCGGCTCCTCCTTCCTGTATGGGTACAGCCTCTCCGTGGTGAATGCCCCCGCTCCGGTGAGTGACCAAGGCCGTGGGATGCGCCCAGCAGGGGGCGCTGTGGAGACGCAGAAACCCGCCAGTGTCCCCCCCTGGCGCCCGGTGGTACAGGATTTTGCAAACTTGCACGCAGGTTCTGTGCCAGACTCCTGGACCCAGAGGGCGGGGGGCAGGAGCGGGGCAGAGAGGACACCAGCCCCTGCCTTTGGAGGGGAGGTAGAAGATACAGAAACAGACGATGGTGATGGGGGAGGGCATGTCAGTGTCTGGAGGCTGGAGTGTGGTGTCCTAGGATAGCGTAGGAGAGGAGAGGGGCCTCCGGAGGTGCCAGGGGCAGATCCTGAGGGTCTTCTTCCAGGGCCAGGAGCACGGAGTCTGAGGAGCCACAGAAAGGCCTTTGGCATAAACCTTTCCCTGACCTGTTCTGTGTTCATGTCCTTCAATCTGAGCTTGAGGTCACTGGAGACTCTGGTGGTTAAGATCCATCGCTAGCCTGTTTTCTCTGGAATCGGGTCATTAGGTGCAATTCCTCCAGGCCCCCCAACGCCGCCCTGCTGGTTTGCAGGTGAAGGTGTGGTTCTCACCTACCTGTGCTGTTAGCTGTAGGTGCTACCCATTCCCAGGGGTGCTGGCTCCTACTGGACCTGCCTCCACCCTGGGGTCAGGTGGACGGGGTGTGAGGGAAGATTCCCTGGCGGAGGAGATGCCTCACTGTGTCTTGAGGGTGGAGCGAAGGCACAGAGGCCAGAGATGGGAAACATTTGCAGGAAAGCTGCAGGTATGATGCAGCTGCAGCACAGGTGTGTTTTGGAGAGCACTGGGCAAGAGCTGAGGCCGGCAGGAGCCAGGAGCCAGGCTGTGGACATCCTGGGTTTTTCTTTTTCTTTTTTTTTTTACTGTGAATTTTGTGTAAGTTCATTTGAAAAGTTGACTCTGATGCTAAAAACAGTTGGAAAACCAGGGGAGCAATGGTTCTCCTGTCTTGCAGCTGTCAGTGGCTCTGATGTTGTCACTGTGATGTCTCCCTGAGATGGGCATATGATTGGTCCCTATTTGTCTGTAAAAGAGGCCTGGGAATTTGTACTCTTGCTTCATCGTGAAAGCTCAGCTGACGCTCCAACAGAGGGTGGAGAACCTTTGCTTTCCTGGCCTGAGGAGCAGGCATGTAACACTCGAACCGACTGGAATGACGTGGGTAGAAAAACAACAGGCTCAGCAAGGGCCACGGGAACACGAGCAAGGGGCAACTGTGTCATTGTTTCCAATTCTTTTAAATTAATAAACTTTTTTTCCCAGAGCAGTTTTAGGTTCACAGCAAAACTGAGCAGAAAGTACAGATTTCCGCACACGCTTGAGCCCCCACCTCACACACACACACACACACAGACACACACACACACACACACACACACACACACACGGCCTCCCCCACTGTCCCGATCCCCCACCGGGCGGTGCATTTGTTGCAGTGGGTGGACCTATCTTGATACATCAAAGTCTATAGTTCACTTTAAGGTTCCTGCCTGGCAGGCGTGCATTCTATGGGTTTTGACAAATGTGTAACGACACGAATCCACCACCGTAATACCTTACAAAACAGATTGGGTTTCTTTTTACTTTTAAGGCTCTGTCTAAATATACTTTTTCCCAAAAGATTATTCATATATGTTGTTTTATATCCTTTTTTGGCTTCATATTTACATTGTCAGCATTTTCCCATGTTGTTGAAAATTCTCCGTCCCAGGATTTCTAAGCGCTGTGTGTGGCTGCGCCAGGTGGCTGGCCCGCCTCCCTAACACGGCCTCGTAGGCGGCCTTCAATTTTCTCAGGTATGAGATGCGGCTACACTATGAGGTGTTGCTACATTGTTTCAGTTGGGAGCCTGTGTCATTGTTTGGTTTGGTTTGGTTGGAATCTGAGCTGGCAGAGCTGTAGGCTGATTGGGGATGGGGGGTCCTCTCCAAGCCTGAGTGTTGGCATCTTGGTGATCCAGACTGTGGGTGCCCCCCCTTCCTGCCTCAGCCCCAGGGCCCCCAGCTCAGTGGAGCTGGGAAGCCTGCATCTTTGATTCAGAATCCTCTCATTTCACAAAGTTCCTCTGGGAAAGATGCCTTTGTTGGGCCTCATGGGGCAAGGACCACGCCCCTGTCAGAGCTCCGGGAGGCCCTGCATAGCGGGCCGGGGGCAGAGGTGGCTGCCGTCAGACACAGGGAACAGAGGATCGGCCGGCCAGCCACTCGGAGGGAGCGTGCTGGTGTGAACACACCCAGACAAGTCGAACTAGAAACGTGCTGTTTCTGACCCACAGGAGAAAGACGCTGGGATTTATTGAGCACCTGCTATGTGCTGGACATCATGCCAAGGACCACACACCCTCATTTAACTCTTCTGGCAGCCCCACCTGCAAGCTAAGGTCGCTATTCCTGTTTTACACATAAGTTATTCCAGGTGCTGGACACCGTCACCCTGCACGTGGGTTGGGTGAGATGCCCTTTGAGCAACTCTGCTGCCTCCAGGCTGATTCTGAGTGGCCGTGAGCAACGTGAACAGAATGAACATATGTGCCCAGGGGCCACACAGGAGGAGAGGGACATGCTGTCCCCTGCGTGGATGCACGGTCCCCTGTGAACACAGCTCTGCCATCTTCCAGAAGAGTGTTCCGGCAGGAGGGAGGCTCTGGGTGAATGTTTCGTTGTTTTTTAACCCTCACCTGAGGATATTTTTTCCATTGCTTTTCAGGGAGAGAGTGGGGGAGGAGGGAGAGGGAGAGAGAAACATCAGTGAGAGAGAGATACGTCAATTGGTTGCCTCCTGCACATGCCCTACCTGGCCTAGAATGGAGCCTGCAACCAAAGTATGTGCCCTTGACCGGAAATCGAACCCAAAACCCTTCAGTCTGCGGGCGGACACTCTAACCACTGAGCCAAACAGGCTAGGGCGGATTAATGGTTTTTTTAAGTAAGAAAGCTACTTGGGAGCATACACTCTGTCTGCTCCTGCCTGGAGCCAAATAGCAAATGAAAATCTCCATGTTCTGTATCACTAAACCCGAGGTCGGGGAGCCTCCCTCAGCGCAGAGGTGGTGGAGGGCAAGGACCAGGGGGCTCAGAGAGTCTCATCCACGTGACTGTCACCCGCAATTGGTGCCTCTTCTCTCAGCGTTTTCAGTTTTCATTCTGAGAGCCAGCAGTGGGAGCCACTTGTTCTCAGCTGTCTAGAAATCTAGAAGCTTCCTTCCCACCAGGCAGTTAGCCAAGGTCCCGGGGGACCCCTGCAGTGGGGAGAACACGAAGCACCACAAACCTGCAAACTGAGGAGCAAGTCAGACAGGAGCTGGACGTGTTCCTAAGGACCTGGGACGTGTGTCGGGTCTGGGACCCCCAGGTTCCATGCCACGCCCGCGGGCTCACGGGGCCGGGCACCGGGCACGCTCACAGCTGTGATCCACTTCAGCGAAAGGACACGAAGCAGACGCAGCACAGGGAAGAGGCGCGTGGGGTGAAGCCCGCAGGAAACAGGGCTCCAGCTTCTCGCGTCCTGTCCCAGCAGAGGCGCACAGGCACACTTAAGGCCCCGGCGCTGAGCTGTGACAACAGGTGTGATGCGTCCATCGGGAAAGCTCGTCGGAGACTCAGCGTCCAGGGTTTTTACTGGGGACTCGGCAGGTCCTCAGTTCCCGACTTGCAGTGGGGAGCAGGTGATCTGCCTGTGCCAACCTGTGCACAGGGCAGCCCCGGAGCCCATTCTGGGAATGGTGGGAACCCTCCCAACATCCACGTTCCCCGGAGCCAGCCCAGGGCCCACCCTCAAGCCTGCCTTTCAGTGTAGAGCAGCCTCAGGCCAAGTGTTTCTGCAGAGGAGGCCTTAGCTCTGCTGCTCAGGTGGCATTAGGTGGCACTGCCGGGCTCATGGAATGTTGTCCCTGTGTGCTCGTTACCTCCAAGAGCCTGGTCTGGCCGTGGGCACCTCTGTCAGGACGCCCGTGCCGTTCTCCTAGCTGCGCTGGCCGCTGGGGTGGCCTGTTTACAACCCCGCAGGCCTGTGCGGGGTTACATGGTGTGTGCACTCCGGCCCATCCGCCAGCAGGTTCTGTTTATGTGCACTTTTATAGCATTCCTGAGAGTGATTGTAGATGGAGTTGTCACCGGCTCTGGGTGACTCAGTGAGGAACACGAATGTCATAAAACCACTACAGAGCAATTTCCCTCCCATTGTCCGGCAATTTCCTGTCATCATTTGCAGGTGTCCTGAGCCAGTCTGCCTGGTTATAGATTGCATAGTTCCGTGTGTTGCCAGAGGCCTGATCCCTGAGTCCCTGGTCCCTGATGAGGCCATGGTGAATTATTCATGGATGCATAGGCCTGAGAAATAAACAGTCTAGGACCCTTATTGACAGATAGGGACCTACCAATATCAGTCCTCACATTAAATCCCTGTGGAAACTCCTTCAGGGAGGAAAGGATTTCACAGATGAGGAACCTGAGGCACAGAGAGGTTAAGTAACTTACTTGAGATCACCCAGCAGAGAAGTGGCAGAGATGAGAGTCAAATAAAGTGAATTCCCAAGGCCCTTAACCCTGGAGAACCCTGTCCTCAGAGGCAGAGCGACTTGCTAGAGGTCACAAAAGGACTCAGGGGTAGATGCAAGTCTTGAGCCCAAGACTCTTGACTCTTGGCTCAGTCTCCTGTCCTTTAACCATGTAGCCTCTTATTCATTCTTTGCAATTAGAGCTCTAGTCAATACTAATCATAATAAAATATTCTTTGATAAATTCATTAAAAAACTCTGTTAGTCTCATCATCTGACTGGTCCACTGCCCCCAGTCTAAACTTCCTTACGCAGCCTCCACCCTGCACCTACCTTGATCTGACCCACCAATCAGAACTCGTTTCCACGTGCAAACTTTCCAGTCCCTCCCCAGTGCCCACAGGATTAGGCGAGGAGCCCTTGGGCTGGCAGTTAAGACCAGTTATGGCCAAGCCCTACCTCATTTCCCAACCGTTCTCCGGCTGCTGGGCCACCCTCCAACTCACCGAGTCATTCACGGCTCCTCCACGTCAGCGCGTGGCTCCCAGCTCTGTGCCTCTGAGGATTCTGACGACTGCCATCAGCCTGAGCCCGCCCCACTGCCCTCCTTGCTCACCTGACCTGGCCACACGGCTGGGCTGCCACAGCCTTTCTCGCCTTCCTGCCACCGCAGCACCTTCCGCCCGTGTTACAATCGCATGTTCACCCTGCAGCCATCGCCACTGGCTCTCAGGCTCCTGAAGGCAGGGGCTGCACAACTGGTGTCTAGAAGGCAGGATGGGCCCCTGGGCCTGGGTGGCAAGGAAGCAGGTTTGCTGAGCCAGAGAGAGAGACCTGAGCACTGGCCTTTGTAAAATCTGGGAAAGTAAAACATGGATCCGTGAGTGAGGCGGCCCAGAGGAGACCTAGAGATTAGCTAGGACAGTGGCCTTAACCACAGCAGGCCTTTGACTACGTCGTTTTGCTCGCTGCCCTTTCGTGACATTGATGAGACGCTGTAGGAACTTAACTCTTGCTTTTATCAATTAGGCTCTGGTAAAATTGGTTTCATTTTATGTCATTTTGCTGTAGTCGTAGAAGCTAAGAATGGTGCTAAGTGAGGACTTGCTGTGTAAATAAGATGTATGGGTTACTTGATTTTATTATTATATGGTGACTGACCCACAGCAGAAATTCAGTTTAAAACACAATTAGAGAACCTGTTGTGAGCCATGCACTCCAAGTCAGTGTCTGCATATATTAGTCCACAAATCTCAAACTCAGTGAATGTTCCTGCAGATAGTTAGCTGAACGACCTTCGCCTCCTGGCTTCCGCGCTCACGTAACCTCCAGGCGCCTTTCGCTGAGGCCTTTGCAGGATTCACACTCTCAAAGACGGCCATCTAATCACCCAAGTCATCACTTTGAAGTCAGCTTTCGGGGACTCTGGAGAAAGGTGCTCCCGCAGGCGCACAGGCCGACAGCCGGTGCCTGTCTTCCAGCCCACCCCCTCTCTAAAGAGACCCCCACAGCCACGCCCAGCAGCGAGCCAAAGAAAGCCAGCCCTTTCCCCCCAGGCTCCTGAGCGCCTGGGAAGAAAAAGAGCAAGCTCCCTTCCAAGCAGCATCCTTTCAGTTTCTGCATGTTACTCCCAGGGAACCGGCCGCGGCGGCAAGTGTGTCACAAGAGGCTGCAGAGTGGGGATCGGCAAGGCAGCTGCGCTTGCTTGAATCGGTGCAGGATTGCTGTGGGGCCAAGGTCACATCCCAGGGTGACCTTCTATGCGTAGGGTCTCCTGTTGATTGGGTGGCAGGAGGGGTGCCTGTGAGGTCCTGAGGACTTGTCCAGCTTCCCTGAAGAGCCTCCACCCCGTAAATACTTGCTGTAGCCCGCGGGGCCTCCTGCACCCCTGCCTTCCTGCGGCCCCTCCATCCCCTTAACGTGGAAATTGTCACAGTTTCTCCTGCGACACCCTGTGCTCCTTGAGGGCTGTTGCCGCTGCTCTCGCCAGGGCCACAGAGGGAGGGTCCAGCCCATAACGAGGGCTTAACTGATGCTCAGTGTTAAGTCAATAAGTGCGCGTGTCCTCAGCCGCTTAACTCCTTCCCCTCAGCTGTGAAATGAAGAGCCCACCTGTGGTCGTTGCGTCCGGGCCTGAAGCGGGTGGATCTCACACAAACCCTCTCCCCACATCAGCCATGGGCAAGACTGTGGGCAAGTGACGTAGCTCTTGGTTCCCTCGGCTGTAAACAAAGGTTTCTACCGCTAGGGTTGCCATGAGGATCAAATGGGATAATTTATAGGTTTTGGCAGACTTTCAATAGTTGTGAGAGACAGCAATTTTGTCTGAGTGGAGCCAAAATAGAAGTTGTTGAAGAAATAATGACCTGCTCGCAGGATCAGAGGGAGGGCTGGCTGGCCAGGTTCCAGAGCTCTGCAGCCTCGGATGGCACCCCAAAGCATGGCCAGAGCTGGTCCTGCGGGGCCCCCGTAGCCACCCCTGCCATCTACTGCACCCAGCATAGGACTCTCAACTCCCATGGGGGCCACTGCCACCCCCAAAGCCAATCCTGCTGTGGACAATTCCCGGCCCCATTTCTTAGCCTCAGGTGCCTCATGCAAAGTCCGGGCCTCTGATTGGCTGAGCCTTGGTCACATGTCCATTTCCAGCTGCAGGGGATGCTGGGAAGGCAGGTGTCTGGCATTTCCAACCTCGGTAGTGATGAGTGGGCTCCGTTTCCCGCGGGGCTCACGAGGCGGGAAAGTGTCCCAGATGGGAAGGGGGCTTCTGACTCTAGGAAGCGAAAAGGATGCCAGAGGCCAGTAGAGTCCATGAAAACTAAGGGTCAATGTCAATGTTAATGTCTAGCCGCTGACAGGGCACAGTCCCCACTCAGAGAGGCTGCAGGGAGCACCGTGGTGAGTGGGAGACAGTCCCTGTCACGGTGGCCCCTGGGAGAGGGGATGGTCATTGCAATGCTACCACGGACATTCGGGTAGATGTAGCCTAGGGCAGGTGGGAAAGAGGCTTTCAGAGGAATTTTCTATAAATGGATTTTGTGGGTTGTAGTTTAGAGTGTCTTCAGTTTTACTAGATGATGTCAAACTGTCTTCCGAGACGGGTGTACAAACTGAACCCCACCGTAAGTGCAGGAGAGCACACACCGCGGATGGGTCTCTGCTGGGTCTTACAGGCCTGCTCATTTCAGGCCCGGGGGCTGTGCGCTCTGCCTGAGGCCTGGGCAGCCCTGCCCCGCTCTCTTGTTTGACCCTCACGGCAGCCCTGAGACATCAGTGTTATCATTCTCATTTTGCAGATGAGGAAACCAAGGTCCAGCTGGCTTAAATTATCAGCAAATTGTGACACTGGGATTCATGTCCGGGTCTATGCAACCTGAATCTACAATTTTCCCAGTGTCATATGCTGGCTATGGAGAGATCTGTGGGCCCACACTGGGTAGCAGTGGGCAACTATGAACATCTCGGGGATGTAACCCGCTTGGGGAATGTAGTGCCAGGACCTCAGTTTTCGGTTCACATCAGTCACCCAGTCCCCATCCCAGACCCACTGCATCAGAACTGATAGTGATGGGGGTCTAGTGGGCGTGAAGTGGTACCTCGCTGGTTTTACTTTGCATTGTTGACGAATGATGTTGGGCATCGTGCCATTAGCTTACTGGTCACTTGAATTTTCTCTGCAGTCTGTTCGAACTTTTTGCTCATTTTTAAATTGGGTTGTTTGTCTTCTCAATGACTTGTTAGAGCTCTTCATAGACTGTGGATACAAGTTCTTTGTAATATGTACATTGCAACTGTGTTATCTCGGCCCCTGGCTTGTCTTTTCATTTTTTCAAGGTGTCCTTTGAAAAACAGAGCACTTTAATTTTGATGAAATGCAAATGAGCGCTTTGTTTTTCTCTTATGGTTAGTGTTTTTGTGCCTTATATCTTTGCCCACCCCAAGGGGGCAGAGCATTTTTAACACATTGCCCAGGTGACCCTCCTGGGCACCAATGTTGGAGAAGCCCAAGTACCATGGTCACTGTAGGTGTGTAGTTAGATCTGAGCCTGACTCCCAGGTTTGCCACTTACTAAGCAAGTCTCACTTTGTCTCTTGGATCCTCAGTTTCTCTATCTGCAAAATGAGGTAAAAAATCGTGTCCATGCACACACTTTGTTAGGAGGGTTCAGTGAGATAAAGCATACACAGAACCTGGCGAAGCCCTGGCCCGGAGACCGTGCTCTGCGCCCCCCGTTTGTTTGCACACCAGCTGGCTTCCCGCGGCCGAGGGAGCAGGAGTAACACAGTCTGTTGTTTGTTTCCAGTACATCAAGGCCTTTTACAATGAGACGTGGGAAAGGAGGCACGGACACCCCATAGACCCGGACACTCTGACTCTGCTCTGGTCGGTCACCGTGTCCATATTCGCCATCGGTGGACTCGTGGGGACGTTAATGGTGAAGCTGATCGGAAAGTGTCTTGGGAGGTCAGTGGGGACTGTCTCTGTTCGGGGATCCCCCCCCTAAGGTTCACGATATGTCTGTGTCTTAGGCAGGATCCCAGCAGACAACAAAATGCCGCTTAGCTCAAGTGGAGAGATTTGAATGTCGGAAGGTCAAGGGGTGGAAATGGGTCACCGAAGGCCAAGGGGAAGTGAAGCCACGGACAAGGGGCTGCCTGCCCAGTGGAGCTGAGGGTGTGGAGAGGCTGGGCTAGGCCGGAGCTCTACCATACAAACAGGGAGGAACCCAGAAGACACCCTGGCTTCTCTCCTCTACCCCCCAAATCTACTGCTGGTACCTCTCATTGTTCAAACCCAAGTGGAAACCAGAAAACCCAGGAGATTTATGAGTTAGGTCCAGAGAATCAGGGTGCAGGGCTCAGAGCAGGGCTGGAGGGAGGAGATGGATCCGGGAGCCAACAGCAAATAGCACAGTGTCTTTGCGATTGTTTCATATACACAGAGATAGAAAAATCAGGTGCGTATGCCCAGCCGGCGTGGCTCAGTGGTTGAGCGTTGACCCATGAACCAAGAGGTCACCGGTTCGATTCCCAGTCAGGGCACATGCCCTGGTCGTGGGCTCAATCCCCAGTCGGGGGAGTGCAGGAGGCAGCCGATGGATTTTCCTCTCTCATCATTGATGTTTCTATCTCTCCTTCTCCCTTCCTCTCTCTCTAAGATCAATAAGAACATATTTTTTTAAAACCAGCTGCTTAACTAGCCTTCCGTAAGAAGGCTCTGAACCCAAGTGGATGGCGTAGGGAAAGGTCCCTGGAATCGGGCTCAGGGTGCCGTGGGCCAGAAAGTCCTGACTCCCCGATGTGCCAGGTGTGTGACGTGGGACTTGGCCACCTCCCCTCTCAGCCAGCACTGTTCCCACGTGTACAGTGAAGGCGATGACAGTGGCCTCAGCGGCGTGGCAGCAATAAATGCGAAAAGAAAGCAAAAGAGGAAACGTACTGAGAGACACTCAATTTCCAGGTGACAGATTCCGCTGGTGCAGAGAGATTCGATCAAAGGTGTGGTGGTTATGCCCGAGCAGCTGTCAGCTCCTCTTTCCATCATGACGGGGGCGAAAGCTGAACTGGGTGAAGTCTCAGCTGGAATCGCAGCTCTGGGGGAGGCGAGGCGGCAGAAACTGGACAGGTGCCACTTGTTCACCTCCTGCTACGTGCCGTGCTCGACACGCGGCGCTCCCTACGACCTGCTGTGTTATAGTCTCCATTCTGCAGGTGATGAATCGAGGCCCGAGAGGCCCAGCAGGTGTCCCAGGCTCCAAAGAACGCACCTGAGCCGAAATTCAGACCGGCGTCTGTTTGACCACAACCCGCACTCTTGCTGTCACATGGTGCCCATTGCGATGCTCCTTGAGGCCTCATCAAATGTCCCCCATGGGGGCCGTCGGCAGGAATAGGAGGCTGAGCTCCACGTGCAAGGCTGGGTGGGGGCCGACGGAAGGCGCTGGGAGAGAAGGTAGGCTGGAGCTGAGCATTCGGGGTCAGGGGGCGCGGTCACCGGCATGCGGCCAATCCAGCCAGCGCACGTGAAACTCGTCTGTGGTTCAGGGGAGCCCAAGGGGCCAGGGACCATCTCTGGATAGGAGCCACCCCATTATCTGGTCTCAGGGCTGCAGGCTCCTTGTCTCCTGGACTCTCTGGCTTGGAGAATTCTGGCCATAGAGAATAGCTTCTGCGTCCCAGTCCCTCATTTGGGGCCATTTGTCTTCGGCTTGCGTGGCTCTAGTGACAGACCCTCCTTCCCTCGTGAGATGGACGATGGCCATGCTGGTGCACAGACGGACCCTGGCCGCAGGCTCAGCTTCACATCTGGACTCTGCGGCCAAGGATGCGTGCCTCAAAGTCTCTCGGCTCCGTGAAGTTCATGGTAAAGTGAAGACTGAGTGATGGGCTATGTCCGAGCCTTGTCGTGTGGAAGCAAAGTGTCCATCTCGCAGAGTCAGCACCGAGCTTAAGTTCGCTGTCGTCCCTGTTCCCGTCTTATTAGCTCTTCCGAAGACCGTCTTCCCATCTCTCGGCAGAGCCAGTGTGAATGTTCTTTGAACTGCACTCAAATGGACCTCCTTACACATGCCTGCATCTGGGTCTTCCCTTGGGAGCAGAGCAGAGAAAACGGAAACACACAGGCTTTGAGACCAGATCCTGGGTCTGCTTCCAGGGCAGGCCAGCGATCCATGTCACCCACTCAGCAAACACTTCTGAGCATCCGTGGGAGCCAGGCCCCGATCCTGGCACTTGGGTCTCAGAGACCGAGGCGCTGCCCAGGGCTGGGGCTGTGGCCGTGGCCAGGGAGGCAGGCCCTGAACGATTCATTATGAACATCGCCCTGACTCTGGGAAGAGCTATAAATGGGCCGAAGAGGCAGGTGCCACTCTCCTTAACTTTTAAATCTGTAAATCTCAGGTAAACAGACCCCCGTGAAGGAACCTCTATGAGGGTCAAATGAGAGAGTATTTATAAAATGTCCCATGTCACTCAGAAGGCTGTGACAGGAACCCAAATCAAACTGGCTTAGGCCCAGATTTCAAATTGGCTCCCATAACTGAAATATAATGCAGTTGAATCCAGCAGCTCATATGATATCATAAGGAAATCTATTTTTCCCGTCTCTAGGCTCTGCCTCGCTCTGTGTTGGCCGCACACACAGGCGGTCTTTCCCCGTGTCAGGGCAAGACGGCCCCGTCAGCTCAGGCAGGCATTGTTCCTGCTGGCACCTTGGCACAAACACAGTCCTAGTGAACGTCCCAGCCTGAATCTCATTTACGTGAGGCGCATGCCCTCGGGGCTTCTCAACCGGTGGCAATTTTGCCCCATCAGGGGACACGTGATGGTGTTTGGAGACATTTCCGGTTGTCACCACCAGGGGGGTGCTCCTGGTATCTGGTAGAGGCCAGGGATGCTGCTAAACACCCTGCCATGCGCAGGACACCACTCGGATTTCCAGCTCCACGTGTTAATAGCGTCCAGGTTGGATTCCTGACGAATAACATTCTGATGTACCTTAAATGACTGTAGCACGTGCCCATTCCTAGAGGGCCATCTGGTGGAGACGTGACCATCTGGGGACCACCGGCCCCACACTGAGAGTTTCCGGGAGGATGTTCGAGGACTCCCGCAGAAGCAGAAGGGTGGATATGAAACACCAGCAACCAGCACCCTGTATATCACGCCGGGCAAATGGCAGGTTCTCAGAAGCATCGCTTTCCCCCCTCTTTTTCTATTTCCGTCTTTTAAAACGTGCCTTTACTTTATAGCAGCGGAACGAACCTTAGCCCCCCAGGTGCCTGCTGGAGAAGCATGCGCCGTCAGCCAGGCGCCGTAACAAAGGAACGGAGACTGAGTCAGGGGCTGGGAAGACACTAAGTGTCAGCCGGAAAGATCAGAGCAGACCCACCACGAGGGAGACCTGGAAAGCGAGAGAAAGGAGGTGGCCGGCAACTGTGTCCAACGCTGCCGAGAAGCGAGAAGTGGAGAAGAGGCCTGGGCTCCCGTGGGTGGATTTGGCAACACGGAGGTCGCCGGCTATCAGGACAACAGCCGTTTCAAGGGCACAGTGGGGGAGACGATCATCGGAATGGGTGTAAGAGCAAAGTGGAGATGAAGAAATGGAGACAGTGAGTCAGATGCTGTTCTCCAGGAGTTCTGCACAGGGAGCAGAGACCACGGCACTGTAGATGGAGGAAGGTGGGGGACCAGGAGCATTTTTACATGTTTTCTTTTAAGACGTTAATGAGATGTTCCAGCAGAGAGAGAAAAATTGACAGTCAGAAGCAAGAGGTAAAACTTGCTGGAGCACTAGCTTTGAGCAGGTGACGGGGTGGGCAACTAGTAGGTCACTGAGGGGTTGCCCTCGGAGGGGCGAGGGGAGAGTCCGTCGTGGCAACGAGGGGAGGCGGAGTGTCTGGGCGCAGATGCAGGTGGGTCTGTGCACGCGGGAGGAACACGTGAAGGGTCCCTTTGGGTTGCTTCTGCTCTCGGGGTGGAATAGAAAGTAGGTCATCCACTGAGAAAGACGACTTGGGGATCTGAAGGGAGACACGAATTAGTTCTCTAGGAGCGCGGGAGACCGAACGATCCGGGCAACTTCAGAATGGCCGCTGAGGGCTCTAAAGGCCACTCGAGACTCTTAGGCATAAATTTCAAGTGACACCAGTCAACAGAGCGGTGTTTTCTCCAGCCAAGCTGTGCTTTGTGGTGTGTGTGTGAGGTCGACCCATATCTAACTAAGGCTGGGATTTTGCCAAGAACACGTAATGAAGGGGGGTGGGTCAGTGGGTCAAGGAGTTGAGAGTGCGTGACTGTTTAGAATAACGGTCCTTGTGACTCAAGCTGGGTGCGCAGGAATGGAAGAACATGAGGAGGGTGACAAATGGTGGAAACAGGGTACCATCCTGGTTTATAGGCTTGGGGCCTGCACAGGCTAAAAAATTGTTGGAAGGGTAGGTGGTGGGAGCCAGTATTTCCAGAGGTTTCCCATTTCACTAGGGCTTCATGAAAAGTAAAAAGTTCCCTTTTCCCTTCTGTCTTCCAGCCACTCAGAGGCAACCAGTGTCATCAGCTTTTTTTATATCTTTTCCTAGGTTTGTGCCTATCTACAGACACACCTTTATCACACAGACTGTTTCACATTCTACACAAAGTTCTGTACCTTGCTCTTTGCACTTAACAGGGTATCTGGGAAGTCTTTCCACATAAGAATATACAAAAGTATCTCAGATTTAATGTTTACATTATGCACCACTTGATAGACGCACCATAATTTATTTAAACAATTCCTTGTTAATGGATACTTGGGTTGTTTCGGTCATTTGCTATTATAGAGGATGTTACAATGAGCAGTCTTTGACCCATCATGGCTGAGTTGCCTAAGTCATTAACTCTGGGATTTTCCAAGAAGATGCAGGAAGGGGGGAAAAATTAATGGAAAGTTTGAGATAAGTCAAACATAGTCAAAAGAGCTCTGGCCTGGAGAGAGCTAACTCCAAAAAGCAGTAACAAAGTTCCCTTGCAAATCCCAAGCTTCTTACAATTTATAAAACAATTTAATATCTGTTAACTTGAGTCTTGAGGGAAAAAATTATTCTACGAGAGGCTAGGATGTTTCCCCAGCTCCTTGACTCACTAGTTGTATGACCTCAAACAAGTTTCTAACCTGTCCGTGTCCTGGTGAACTTCTCTATAAAACAGGAATAAAAACATTCTCTAGCTGACAGAGTCACTTTGAGCAGTAGATGAGCTACTCCTGTAAAGAGCTTATAACGAGGTCTGTCACAGAGCAGGAGTTCACTGCATGTGAGCCATGATGACCACTTTGCAGGTGGGGAAGGAAAACACAGCAGTAAGGTTCAAGGTTACCCAGCTGAGAGAGAGAGCTGGTGCAGGAAGCGGGGCCTAGGCCTCCACACAAGTCATGCTCTAAACCTGAGGTCTAGGGGTGTGTCCGTAAAACAGTGGTGACAGTCCTGGCCCTGAGCGATTCGTGGTCATAACAACCCCAGCGGTGAACCCAGAGGGAGCGAGTGCCTTGCTCAGGATAACGCAGCCAAAGGTGGCCGTGGGGGGCCGGTGGGGACCCTGCTCCTGGGGTGGACAGGCCAGTGACAGCCTCGTGGTCAGGCCTCCTCATCGAACCCTTCCTTTTCTTTATTTTTTCTTTATTTTTTATTGAACTTATTGGCGGTGACGCTGGTTAATAAAATCATATAGGTTTCAGGTGTGCAATTCTATAATACACCACCTGTATGTTGTGCTGTGTGCTCACCACCCCAAGTGAAGCCTGAACCCCTCTTTTCTCCCAGGAAGTGCACGTTGCTGGTCAACAACGTGTTTGCGATTTCCGCGGCGCTGCTCATGGCCTGTTCACTCCAGGCGGGAGCCTTCGAAATGCTCATCGTGGGCCGCTTCATCATGGGCGTGGACGGAGGTGAGGCTGGGCCCGGCCCGAGGGGGCAGCGACACACTCCCGGGGGGTGTTTCCCATGAGGACACTGAGGCGCAGTAAAGTGGTGAAGGGCGAGGGCTGTGGGTTCAGACCGCCTGGGCTCTGTCACTTCCCCAGGTTAAGTTCGTCACCTGTCTGCCTGAATCAGTTAGGTTTTACTGCATAAAAATAAAAAACAGCCCGAGACAACGGCCTGAAGCAATAACCATTTTGCTGAGCTCACAGCTCTGTGGGGTAGCGAGGCAGCTCTGGTCCGGGCAGAATTGTCCCTTGTTTGTGGGACACTGTTGCTCACACTCCCCCCGGGGTGCGAGTCCACGTCTGCTGCGTTAGGAGGTCTCTAGTGGACATGCGATGAATGTGTCTAAGTGACCAGGGGACGGAAAAGGAGTCACAGCATGATGACATCCAGACCACATAAGAACTCTTACAAACCAATAAGAAAAAGACAGAAAAGCCGTTACAAAAACGGCTAAGAGGTTGAACAGGCATGGACACAGGTGGTCAACGGAGACATAAGGAAATGCATGTTAAAACCACAATGGCTGAAATTAAAAAGGTTGATAATGCCAAAGACTGGTGAATATGCGAGCAAAGGATGTTTCCTATCTCTCCCCTAAAGGCAAATTGGTGTTAAAGTTGGGGAAACTGGCTTTACCTACTAACACTGAACATGCACACATAGTGACTACAATGTATATAACAGCTTACGGACGTGGGTGGTGAAAGTCTTGTACAAGAATGTTTATGGGTCACTATTAGCATCGCCCCCAAACTGGAAAGCATTGAAATTTCTATCAAAACTAGAGGAGATAGCGTGGCCAGTGTGGCTCAGCGGCTGGGCATCAACCTATGATCCAGGAGATCGGGGTTCAATTCCCGGTCAGGACACATGCCCAAGTTATGGGCTCGACCCCTAGAAAGGGGCGTGCAGGAGGCAGCTGATTAATGATTCTCTCATCATTGATGTGTCTATCTCTCTCCCCTTTCCTCTCTCTGAAATCAATAAAAATAGATATTTTTTAAAAATAGAGTAGGTATATTTACACATTGGAATACTACACAGCAATGAAAATGAAGAAAGTACAGCTCCATGCTACAACACTGATGTATTTCATACACATAGTTCAGTAAAAGAGGTGAGACACATCCTCTGTGTGCCTTAAATCTCTGGTGACAGCGGTCAGGCTGGTGGTGACCTTTGGAGAGGAGGGGAGGACAGTGATTCTAAGGAAATACAGGGTGGTGCCTTCTGGGGTGCTGGTATTGTAGGGTGATTGTTGACTTGCAGGGGTTGCACAGGTGTGTACACTCTGTGATGATTCATCACACTGCGCACATATTACTGGGGCAATTTAAAAATGTATGTCATACTCCAATTCTCCAAAGTTAAATCTATATTCAGTGAAATGCGTAGCTTTGGACTGGACTCAAATTGTCCTGCACCCCAATAGAAAAATGCAGATTTCCAGTTGTCTCTAGAGTATTTCTTTCCACGGCTCTGATGGTCCCTGGAGAATGTTCTCCGTGTCCCTTCTGCTTTTCATGCACTGAAACCTGCTGCTGAAATTGGACCGTAGGGGAGCCTGGAAGTCAGCTCGCTCTGTGCGAGGGAGGGCACCCCCAGCTGCTCCTTAAATGCTCAACCATGTGCCCCGAGGACGGGGAAGGGTGTGAGGGCTCTGGAGTCATACAGGCTGGTAGATGGGAATTGTGCTGATGTTTGAGATGAGTCAGAGGTACTCTGCCCTCTGCTCAGTTCTTGGCGTCTGCAGCCCCCCTCAGACCAGGCACTGGGGCCTGTTCCTTAGGCCACAGTTAAAACCGAGTGCCAGCTTGCAGGGGGTCTGCAACCCCAACCCCCACCCTCGCCCTCCCTGTAGCCTGCATGAAATAAATAATAGAGGCGAGATAGTGCCTCAGGGACCCGTTCAATGCCTACTGATCGAGCCCCTGGCCTGGCACAGTATTCTCATGGACTTTCACTGTGGCTGGAAGTGGGGAAACAGACATTGTACAATAAATACCCAGCAGGGTACTTGTAGAAAGTGCTGGGTACAAAGAGGAACATGGGACCGATGGAGAGATAAAGCTGACGGGAAGGGGCAGATTTCAGCAGGTGGTCAGGGGGCCTCAGCGAGGAGGGGTGCAGTTCCCCAGGGCTGTTATAACAAAGCACCACGAATGGGTGGCTTCGAACAGCAGGAATTATGCTCTCGGAGCCCTGGAGGCCAGAGTCTAAAACCCAGGTCTCGGCAGGGTTGGTTCCTTCTAGGGTGGGAGGCAGGGCCTGTTCCATGCTCTCTCCAGCTTCTGGTGGCGGCCAGCAGTCCTGGCATTCCCGGCTTGCCACAGCATCACTCCAGCCTCTGCCTCTGTCTCACATGTCCTTCTTCCTCGGGGTTTGCACATGGCCTCCTTGAGAGGACACCACTGGTTGGATTTAAGGCCACCTTGACTTGGTTACCTCTGCAAGGATTCGGTTTCCTAATATTTAGAATGGGGATAATAATAGTACATTTGCGTATAACTTTCTGAACCATCACCATCACCACCGTGAGCACTGTCACCACTATCACTCCTACTATCACCATCACCACCACCACCACCACCATCATCATCATCATCACCACTGTCATCACCATCA